ACAATATAAGACAACATCATCATGTAAAGTAAAGTCAACATGCATAGTATCATGTAAAAGAACATGACCCTAGACAACTTCAACATAATGTCAGAACAACAAAGCATGTATAAGAGTTGATAACATTACAACATGTTCAAGACCATACCCATAAGCTATTACCAATATTACAAGTGCATTCATCAAGTGAATTCCCATATACCCACAAAACTAAGTAAAGCCAACAAAGGATCAAAAGTAATGTCTAGCTTCAAATAATAAGTCATCATAAGAAGTAATCCTCATTTTAATGGACCGCTAACATATTCATAAATGAAACTATAATCAAATAAAAGAGTTATTAACTTTGATAGTCATTCAACTGTCAACTGTTGTCATACAAAGTCACTCAAATTTAATTTTCAACTCAAAAGTCACTAAACTGTTAATTGTTTTCATACAAAGTCACTTAACTTGTCATATTCGGGGAGAACCCCCAAGACGTAACTGGCGTCGTCGTCCTCTTGGAGGTCTAAGACTCGCCTCTTAGATTACATCAATACATTTATAGGTTAAAATGCGTAAATTTCACAAACTCTTTATTATTTGTACATTGAGATATACATAGACCTCTACAAAATGCATTTACCTTAAAAAAAATCTCTTACCACTATACATCTACACAATATTAAGCAAATAATCAATCCATATGAATGATTTAGAAATAGACGAATATATTCTTAACATATATTTACTAATAGCAAGCCATGATCAATTCACCCACTATAGAAGCACAAATATTAATAGAAGGATTCCATGGGTTCATAGCTACCCTGGATAAGAACTATTTTATTCAACATGAATTAACTAATTCAAAAATGTTCATTAAACCACATAAGAAACAATTAAACATTTATTGGAGTTCACATAATGGTCCTGAACGACCTTGGGGACTTATCCGACAACCTTCTCACTACTAGAAATTTGACTTACTGCAACGCTTATTTAGCAATGGTTATACCATCGTAGCAATAGCTAACCTATTACAACGGTAATAACCGTGCCCAAATATCCTTGAATCTAATAGAACAATTCTTAAAATAAACTGTTGCATAATCCCGATAACCGTCCCTATAGAGAAGGTATAGCAACAAGTTTTAAAACCGTTGTTATAGAAAACTCTATGGCAACGGTTTTTTAGAAAAATGATTCTGATTTTTTAGCCCTAAATATTTTTCCCTCCTAAAAAAATATATTTGCCTCCAATACAATTAGTCCCTCCTAAAAAATTAATTCTTATTTATTAACTTTTTAAAAAATGTAGAGAAAAAGAATGAAATTGATTAGAAACCCTTATTTTTCATAAATTTCATCAAAACAATGTGAGAGAGATTTTTGTGGGTGAAGCTGCATGTGAAAGGAATTTCTGAAGATTTTGGTGAGAAAAACAAAATTTGTTGGTGAAGCTGTTTGTGAAGCTCGTTGGTGAAGCTTGTTGGTGAAGCTGTTGGTGAAGCTCGTTGGTGAAGAGCTGTCGGTGAAGTTGTTGGTGAAGCTCGTAGGTGAAGTTGTTGCTGAAGCTCGTTGTTGAACCTCGATTGTGAAGCTGTTGCTGAAGCTTATCGGGGAAAATAACCAGCTAGTTCTTTTTGGTGGTGTTTTTGAGGTTCTACTACGAATTCATCTTAAAGGTTAATAATGTTTAAGTTTTCTATGCTAGTTCATGATTTCTAAGTCCCCATTGAATTAATTTTGAAACATGTTAAAGAATATTATATGGGTTAGTCTTAAACCTATGTTATTTGTTCCAATATAGTTAGTGTATAAACTTCCCCTGTTTGATTCTGTGATATATAAGAGAGTCAAAATCTAGTGCTCCATGTTTGTGGATCTGTAAGTATTTCTTTCTGCATATTTTTTTGTTCCAGCTTAATTCTTCCTTAATATTCCCCATTTGATGTGAATGTGGACAAAAATTACTCCCAAATTACTTCCTACTGGTATTTGTTTCACTTTTTGTTGACTGATATGGCTTAATTTGAGAGCAAAAATGAAGAAAGTAATGTTTAAAATTTCGAGCATATGCAGACAGCAGAGTATGCTTTTCATTTGATTTTCTGTATTTAATATTTTTCTACTTTCACCTTTCCATGGAAAAGAAAATTTTATTCTTTACAACAACTGATGTACATAACATTTGGGAAAAAATAGAAAAAAATAAGAAAACCTTCTATTTCTGACTGCTAACATTGTTGATTTATTACTATAGATAGACTATATAGTATATACTCACAGTTGTAAGTGTATATATATAACGACTAACGTACATAATATTAGTATATAATAAGATGTCAGCTAGACTTGCCGCGCAACTTAGCAGCTTCTGAGCTAGTTGTTGTCATGAAAGATTCTCCACAACCACGTTGTCCAGTTGCATTTGGATTGACAAATATGAACTCAGATTTGTTCATAATATCAAGTATTTCAATTTTGATGCTTATGAGACAAATATAACGATAAACCAGGTTAATGAATAGCAATATATTGGAGTGCAACTGGGTGATGCAAGTTAGTATTACTAGAATTAACGCAGTTAAAGTATGGCGGATTAGTTTCACAAGGACAAAGATGACAAAACTATATAGTTTTTGGACTCAATCTCGCTAATCAGTATATGAAGTTCATATTCTTCTCAGTTTAAAGAGGGAAGACATGAATCATGGGTGAAGTCTGTATAATTTGAAAGAATATATTGTTATACTCATTCATAGGAACCACAGACAATGAGATGAGAGAAAGTAAAGAAAGACAAGAGAATGCACTATAGCTAGACATGACAAGCAAACGAAAATCAGTAATGTAATTGCTTTTCTGTTACACCTTATTTTTCCTTAAGGTGGAGTCCTGAAAGTATATGATAGGCTAATCTAGAGAAAGTTACAACACAAGTCGCAAAGGTTATCTTCAATTTTGTTTTTGATTATTAAGAGATGTTTAAACTTGAGTATCACTGTCGTTTTACTTTGAAATACATTCAGATTCTGATATTGTCTATGTCTTTTGCTTGTTCGGTTGAATGTTATCTTCCCTTATGAGTCACTGGCATCATAAAGTGTGACACATAATGCCCTATTTATTCGTTAAATTTAATGATATTGGGTGGATTTGTGCATTTTGCGATATTGTTTTGATCATTCACGAAGCACAAATTGATTTGCTTTGTATGATTTACTTCTCACTTTACATGTTCGTTGTATTTTATTTTGATGCAGTGTCTATAATTTAAACTGGCTATAATTGTGTTAGTCTTAGGAATTTGTGTGTCATTAATAGAAATGTGTGGAACTTGAATTTGTTTTTCATGTTTTTAACTGCTTGCACAATTCATATTATATTGACAGTGAATGTACATTTTATTAAAAAGATACCTTTTTAACATGTCTTTAAGCATTCCTTCTCTTCCAAAGTTTCCATATAACTATGGCTTGTATGAGCTTCATGATATGCTGCAATTTGGGGGCTTCTCTTGTTTTTTTGCAACTTGAATGGCCTGCAATAACTCCTTGCTGATATTACTGCGAAGTTCTGACTCAAACTGAGAGCTCAAACCGTCTTCTTTTTCAATCCATTCCCTAAATCTGCTTACAGAGTCTCTTTCTCTTCTCCACCATTTGATTTACTTAGCTAGACGATATTTGTTTGATTCAACAGTGTAACATAGAAATAATATAGTCCTTGTCTTTGTGCTTCATAAAATATTGCATCCATTGTGCCACTGTTATATATACATGGAATATAGAGATAGATAGTTCAAACCAACAAGTATTTCAGCAAGAAATTAAACCTTGTCACATATATAAATATCTTTTTTACTTATATCTTGACCACCTTTTAATTAAGTTGGGTGGCCTGACTTTAAAAGCAAAACAGACTCATTCATTGTCTTATAATAAGCAGCCAATAACAAGCAAACAAATGTACAAACACAATGACACAAATACATAATTGCATTTTGTATAATTAGTCAAAGCAAGAGGCCAGTGATATTACATCCTGTTTCTCTCATAAAATATTTGTTAGTAACAATAGTGTCATTGTGCCACTGTTTTTTTTGTATGTGTGATTAAAAAAAAGGATTTTTTTGATGGAGTTTTCTAAGCTAAGTTACTTAATTTAGACATGTATCTCTTATATTTTTCCTCTCTTTGGCTTGGTTTCCTACTAATATTGTGGGATTATGTTATTTATGGGCTTGGCTGAAACAATCCCAAAGGTAACACTTGAGGATTTTTGAAGTAGTTCGTTTGGAACCCGAGAAGGCTGATTGGTAAGAAATTGAAAGTAATAGAAATTTTTTGCTATATGGTAGTTGTTAGATTGACTAGCTAACTCCCTTGTGTTTTTTTATAAAGAGAATATGAGTTGTTATAGTTTGTTTGAACTACTTTTTCCATGTGAATACTCTATTATTATTTTACAAATACATGAACTGCTTTGCTAGAATCAAAACTAATGTATTGATAGTTATTTTGTTTGCTTGTTGCAGTCTATTGCTATAATGTATGTTATTTACTCTAATCTAGGTCTGTCCTTATTGCTTTGAAATATTTTTTACGTGTGCCTTTAGTCATTCATTTGTATAAAGTTTATTAAATGGTGGAAGCTGCTAATAACTTAACTTGTCAATATTTTTTGGTTCTACTATTAGTGTTGTAAATGTTTGTTGTTGAATTGATGTGAAGGTTTGAGATTCCATTAATCTAAAAGTTCGAGTTGTTAAGTTCTTTCGATATTATTTGTACGCATGAAATTATTGGCTTTAATGTTTTGCACATGTAATGTAGGATAAATATTCAATGGATTTTGGAGATAAAAGTTGGATGAATCTCCTAAGATCCACCAATGAATATATTCATGGAGTTAATGATTTTCTTGATAAAGCATTTGAACGAGCTTCCCAAGGAAATGAAATATTGTGTCCTTGTAAGAAGTGCTTTAATCGTAATTGGCATTGCCGAAATATGGTAGAGGATCATTTGATTTGCCATGGATTTGTTCATGGATACACCAAATGGGTTTTTCATGGTGAAGGATTTTCCTTAAGAAATACGCCACATCCAATCGATGAAGAAGAAACTTCTAGAAATATTGTAGATGATCAGAGAGATGATCAGAGAGATGAAGGAGTGAGGGAGGGGCCACATGAATATGCAAAGAGATTTTTTAAATTAGTGGAGGAAGGGAAAGAAGAGTTGTATCCAGGGTGTAAGAATTTTTCTAAGTTGAGTTTTACCATCCGGCTATACTTGTTTAAATGCATTCACAAGTTGAATGATGTGGCCTTTTCAAATTTATTGGACTTGATAAGAGAGGCATTTCCATTTGCTCAGATACCCGACTCGTTTTACAAGGCAAAAAAGGTCATAAAAGATTTGGGTCTTCATTATGAGAAAATACATGCTTGCACTAATGATTGCATACTATTTTGGAATGACAATGCAATGTTCGATAATTTCTCAGTGTGTGGAGCTTCAAGATGGAAGAATGTTCGGAATGACTTAAATAATAAGGTTACGAAAATTCCAGTGAAGGTTTTAAGGTACTTTCCTTTAAAGCCTAGACTTCAGAGGATATTCATGTGTTCTGAAACATCTGTAGCTATGAGATGGCATGATACTGAACGACTTAAAGATGGAAATTTAAGACATCCTGCAGATGGTGAAGCTTGGAAGGATTTTGATTCATTGCATCCTAACTTTGCTAATGATGCTCGTAATGTTAGATTGGGTCTTTCTAGTGATGGTTTCAATCCATTCAGAACTATGAGCATTTCCCATAGCACATGGCCAGTTATGTTGATGAACTATAATTTATCTCCATGGACTTGCATGAAGTCAGAGAATATTATGTTATCAGTGATTATTCCAGGTCCATCGTCTCTGGGAAATGATATAGATGTATACTTGCAACCACTGATTGCGGAGTTGAAGGAACTATGGGATGTAGGAGTTGAAACATATGATGCTGTAACTAATCAAACATTTCTAATGCATGCAGCTTTATTGTGGACAATTAGTGATTTTCCAGCTCTAGGAATGCTTTCTGGATGGAGCACCAAGGGAAGATGGGCATGCCCCACTTGTAACCATAATACTTGTTCCCAATATCTCAAACATAGTCGCAAGATGTGTTACTTGGGTCATCGGACGTTTTTACCTCCTGATCATCCATTCAGAAGAGATAAAAGATCATTTAATGGTAAAGAGAGCATAATGTTGCACCTACTCCATTATCAGGTGCACAAATTCTTGAAGAGCTTCGTGAAATCAATAATGTATTTGGAAAGAACAAAAAGAAAAGAAAACGAAAGAATGATGGTCCATGGAAGAAAAAATCCATATTTTTTGAGTTGCCATATTGGGCAACAAACAAATTGAGGCACAATCTTGATGTGATGCACATAGAGAAGAATATTTGTGACAGTGTGCTTGGGACTTTATTGGATATACTTGGAAAGTCCAAAGATCATATAAGTTCTCGCTATGACTTGTATGAAATGGGGATATGTAAAGAGCTTCAACCTCTAAAAGATTGTGATACAGGAAATATCCATCTAGCTAAAGCTTGTTTCTCTATGACACCAGATGAGAAAAAGTTATTTTGAACCGTCTTAAAAGATGCCAAATTACCAAAAGGGTGTGCTTCTAATATATCAAGTCGTGTGCAAATTGAAGAGATGAAAGTATCAGGATACAAAAGTCACGATGCTCATTTCATAATGCATTACTTGCTTCAGGTTGCAGTCAGAAAAGTGTTTCCCAAGAATGTAGCTATGGTCTTTATTAGATTGGGGAATTATTTTAGACCCACATGTATCAAGGTTATAAGAAGAAGCAATCTTGATAAGATGAAAGCAGAAATCATAGATATTGAATGTGAGCTTGAAAAGATTTTTCCTCCATCTTTTTTTGATATAATGACACATTTACCTATCCATTTAGTAGATGAAATTAAGCTTGGAGGCCCAACTCATTTGCGTTGGATGTATTCTACAGAGAGAACTATGTGTGACTTCAAGGGGCGTGTTCGTAGTCGAAAAAATCCTGAAGTATCAATAGTAGAAGGTTTTTCAGCTGTAGGTTGTTTGAACTTTATTTCCATATACCTACCTAATACGGTGAAGACAAAATTAAGTTGGTGTGAAATAGAGGATGATGAGTACATTCAAAAAGAGGAAGGTGGTGTTTCACATTTATTTCCGAAGACAGGTCATCCAATTGGAAGTGAGAATATAAGGAAAGGCAAGATTTTTAACATGGAGAAGCATGAGTTGTTTGAAGCACATCGATATACTTTGTTCAATACAGGAGATGAACAAGTAGAGGCATTTATCAAGCAAGATAAAATACTCATTTGTTTTTAAACTTCATTTAGATGTTATGATAATGTATTTAAAATTTCATTTCATTTATAAATACACATTGATTAAATTACATTACATGCTTACAGGGAACATAAGAGCTTAACTGATAATCGTACTAGAGGCAATGCATGGGTAAAAGCACAGGTCCATAGTAGAGAATTTGGTGATTGGTTTAGTGAAAAAGTTAGAAATATTGAAGTGTCCAATCATTTAAAATGGCTAGCTAAAGGGCCTAACTTTGTGGCAAAAAGATATACTGGATATTTCATTAATGGATATCGATTTCATACGAAGACACGGGATGCGCCTTGTAAAACTCAGAATAGTTGAGTGACTTTGTCAGCCACAACAGATAGTTTTGCTAGTGCTAGGGACCAAAATCCTGTTGATGGAATGGTTCTCTATTACGGAATAATTCAGGATATCATTGAGATTGATTATTGGGGTTGCTTTAGTGTTGTAATTTTTAATTGTGATTGGTTTCATAATGAAGTCGATGAATATGGATTGACTCGGGCATATTTCAACAAAAAATGTAGTACTAATGATCCTTTTGTACTAGCATCTCAAGTGCATCAAGTTTTTTATGTGAAAAACCCAGTTGAGAAAAATGTTTATTATTCAAGAAACAAAGTCCCTATGGATTTGTGTGATTTGGAGGAAGAGAATTGTCCTAATATTGAAGAAACATTTTGGAGAGAGCCTAATGATGATATTGGTTCATCAGAAAGATTAGTTGATGTATATGTTAGATGGTCTAGAGAAGATCTTCCTGTTGATATCATGGATGCTCCTTCAATTGCACAACATTCACCAGATATAGCTATGGAAACATCGGAAGAGGAGGATGACTTTGATGATACTGATTGGGATTGGATGGAAGATGATGATTGAAAAAGGATCTTGTGGACTTGTTCGAATACATTATGTTTTTTTTTCTTATAGTAAGTAATGAATATCATTTGAGTTGCATCATATAGATTATGAATGTTGAGTGAACTGTATTTTCTATCTCTTCTTTTTATTTCTATATATATTTTTTCATGTTATGGTAAGTCCTTCTTCTCTCTTATTGATCATTTTCATTCTTCTTCTTTTTGCAGTTTCTCTGAGCAATTTCAATATATTAGTGGACCAGCAAATCAGTAGGTTCTTATCTCTTATTAAGGTCCAACACTCCAGGTTCGTATCTCATTTTTATGATTCTTTAAACACTTCTTCGCTATGTCTCTCTTTGAGTACTTAATGTACATTCTATGAATGTGATTGAGTGCAGAATATTTTATTGTGGACAGTAACAAACATACTATGTGTGATTGTGGACAGTAACATACTTGCTGCTCTTATAATTCTACCAATTGGCTTCCTAAAAACACTCTAAATCTTGTGTGTGATTGTGGACAGTAACAAACCTACTGGATGTGATTCAGCTCTTTGTAATATCTTTGTAGCTTTTTAGTTTCTTCTATTTTCACACAGGTCAGAATAGTAATAACTATGAGTCAACAAGAAACTTCAAAAAGAACCAAAAAAGCCAAAAAGAAGACATTTGCTAAACCGGGATCGTTATCATTCTTGGCAAATAAGAAACGACGGTTATTGACAACAAATGAAATTATTAAAGAAATAGAGTGCGAGAAAGGACATCAACTCAAATTAATTGGAGGACAACAATCAGTAGCACCACAATCTGAAGCAAAAAGACAATCTGTCAAGGAGTTGCCTTTTGAAAATCAGCCTGTCGAGGAGCTGCCTGTTGTGCACCCTGTCGAGGAGCTGCCTCTTGAGCAGCCTGTCCAGGAGCTGCCTCTTGACCAGCATGGCAAAGATTTTCCTTTCGAGGATTAAGTGCAAATGAATTCTGTTACTCCTCAGACAAATGATCAACCTGAAGAACAAGGTAACATATAAGATTACAAACTTATTAAATTTATTCATAATTTTTAATTATATTTCTTTTATTTTCTTATAGCTGGAGTTCTTTCCAGTCAAAATAAAAGAGGTAGAACGCAAATGCATGATGTTCAAGGCCGAAAAGAACATAAGTTGATCATACTGAATAGTCAAAATCAACCTGTTGGTCCTACGGATGATGTTGTCATAGATCTAAGTAGCTTCCTAGGAACATTGGCTAGAAATGCGACTCATTGCCCATTTGATATATTTGATTGGAGGAGCATGGCCACTAAAAAGGATTTGTGGGATTATACCAAGGTTTGTGGTTTACAATAATAAATTATTTGTAAAAGTATTTTACTTCTATTGGCTAATTGAATGACACAAAATTATAGGGGAAATATATTATTCCTGAAGCTGCGTACCATTGGGCTATGGTAACAATTCGAGATGCTTGGAGAAGACATAGAAGTGATTTGAAGCTTAATTATTACGATTAATATGAAAATGATGCAGTTCGAATGGCAAAAAAGCCTGGTCATATTCCAGAATGTCAATTTAGAGAGCTACTCAAATATTGGAATTCTGAAAAATTCAAGGTAAAAATTTAGTTCAGAATATCAATTTTTTTAATAAGTAGCATTTGTACTAATATTGACAGATTGTTATAAAGGAAAGACAGACTAATATTGACCTCGTTTAGTAGACTATATAACACTAATATACCTTCGATTAACATTACTGATTCATTTCTTTGCAGAAAATGTCTGAAACAAATGCAAAGAATCGAAAAAAACTGATGAATCCACACACTGTTGGCAAAAAGAGTTTCGCTTTAGTTCGTAATAAGCTGGTGAGTTCTCTGATATATTATTTTTTAATGAAATTTTCTTTTGGATCTATTCCAATGTTAGTTTAGTTTTTATATATATTTCAATTCGACTAGGAGAAAGATAAGGAGACAGTATCATCTAAGGATATCTTTGTGGTTACAAGAACAAGAAAACCTGGGCGATCGTACAAGGGCTCAAATGAAGATACTACTAGTAAAATTGTATGTGCTTGTCTATTTTAATTTTTTTTGTTGAGATCAATTATTTATTTCATAAGATTGTATCTGTTGGATATACTTTGGTAGGCTGAAATGGAGCAAATTGAAAAACAAATAAGCATAAATGGTGAGTATGTTGATGCATTTTCAAGCGTCATGGGTCCTGAACATCCGGGACGTCTAAGACTATATGGCGCAGGAGTTACAAAGACTACTTTGAAAAAAAAAGTTGGCAATTGGGAATCAACTTTAAGTGCAACAACTGATGGAATGCATGAAATGCAAGAGAGGATGCAGAAAATGGAGAAACAAAAGAAAATTGTGCGACAAGAAGTTATTGCAGATGTTATTGCACAACTTAAGCATGCGAGATTAATTGATCCTAACATATTGGCAGCATTGTCGACTCCTTCACCAAGAGAATCTACTTCTGTTCAAGGGGATAAACAAGGTTGGTGTCTCTAATTCTATGTTTTGATTGGTATTTGTTGTTGCTACTTTCTATAGGATTAGAATGGAATAGCTAATTACTGCATGTAATGTGGTTTCTTGTTTATGTTAATTAAGCATGTGTCTTGTAGCATGATAGTGTTGTTTCTACTGCTTGTAGTCTAGACTCTTGTTTCTGCTGCTGGACTATGTTGTTTATGCAGCTGCTGTCTTGTTTTTGCTGCTGGCCTATCTTGTTTCTGCAGCTGCTCTCTTGTTTCTGCTGCTGGTGTATCTTGTTTCTGCAGCTGCTCTCTTGTTTCTGCTGCTGGTTTCTTGTAGCATTATACATAG